TCTGCCAAAATTACACAAACATATCATGAAATACTAAAGAGTAAGTTTATTCAATAAAATCGCCACTGGCTTCAACCACGGTCTCCAGACGACTTCGGAATCTCCTGCAACTCTTCTGGGCAGTCTCTTTGTTTAAGTGGTTGAATGCTGGCATGATCCTTGCCTTCAGTTCATCTTTAGTATTACAAGGAATTTTGCTACTCTCTCGGTCAACTGCACCCAACGCATAACAATCAAAGCGGTTGCAGTCTGGAGAGTTTGCGTTTAACGGATGTCAGAATCCTTTGAAAAATACACCCCTACCCTCCCTAAACTTAACCCCTTTTTCGAACGTAACTCATAATTGATACAATGATAGTTAATAAAAATGAACACACTACCGCCCCTGCCTGAATGATTGAATTTCTCTGTATCCTTGGAAACAGGAAATTATGAATTTATATGTACGTTTAAAACTCAGTAGATTTAAAAATAAGTTATTCCAAAATTCGCTTGAAGATGAAATAGAACTAATGCTTTTAATTTAATTATATAATTAAATTTGAAGTTTTTAGCTTCAGTTTTTGAAACTTGGTTATTACTGTGTTGCGAAAAAAACATATTTTAAATTAGTTAATTTATAATATTTATGCTCTGTAAATTTACATTGAGAACTGTTTTGTAAAAATGAAAATAAAAAATATCAATAAGAACACTGGATTATATATCTTACTTTTCTTTCTTTTTTTATTTATATATATATATATATATATATATATATATATATATATATATATATATATATATATATATGTTTATAGATACAAATATTTAAATAAATGCTCTGTTTATAATAAACAGTATTAACAATATTTACCGGCTTGAATGACCGAGAAATTTCATAGAAATTATGTAACCTTCAATGTTTCTTACACGAATTCCTTTAAAATTGAATAGTCTGCTCTTAAACGCGTATATCAGTTCGATATATAAACATATTCTTTACCGAAAAACAAGGATTTTTTTTAAAATGTGAAATTTTAAGATTATTATAATTAGTAACAAAAAGATAAAAAGTGGTTGCTTTTTTTTTTTATTAAGACAATGTATTTATTTCAAAGCACGATTTTTTAAGACGTGTATAACTAAATTTATACTTTTCATCTTTGCAAGCCAATGAAGAACAGCTCCCTTCCTCTCCCTGTGTGGAGTAGAGCAAGGATATGCTTGAAGATAAATTTTTGTCCCTAAACCTGTTCTCAGTGTATGTGATAAGGAAATGATTTAGGACATCCTGATAGACAGCAGCACTAACCGACCTTTTCAAGAAGCACATCATTTCGACAACGGCGAGAGACATGACTGAGAGAATGTTTCACTTTTGTATTCACGTTTTACTTTCTACAGACAACTTATATATATATCGTCCTGGCAACGAAACACTAGACTGGCGACGAGGTCTCACCAATTTAAATTTGTGATGTCTACATGTAACCGTAAGTTCTATGCTAACAGTTTCTTTTCTCGCACTTCTCGCTTGTGGAACACCCTTTCGACCCCATGCTTTCCAACCAACTTTAATCTGTAAAAAATTTAATACAATATCAATCATTATGCACTGTCCACCTGATCACTCTTTTCTCTTTCCACTCATTATTAAAGTTTCTGCTCTAAATTCTTACACACCCTATAACCCCCTTGTGTCTTAGTGGCTTTATTGCCTTGCATGAGGTGATACTGATTAAATATCGTCTTTCAGGTGCCTGGGTTACGAATTCAGAATTCTTCTCCAATTTGGTTGACCTGATATTTAATCTATCGCTGTCTGGAAGAACTGGATTCATATTTTTCCCAATGGTATTTGTGGTAAGATGACTGTACCTAACTTAGGCGAGATTCGAACTCGGTGTGCAGATTTCTCGTTTCGAGCCGCTAACCATGACACTACCTTATAAATATTAAAAGGATAGGAAACTGCTTTTGGTGATAGTGGTGGTGGGGGTAGTTTTTTGGGGGTTTTTTTTTAATCGTGTGTTTTTATCGGTGCCATTATTAGCTAACTATCTTTGCGTATGTTTTGGAGAATTAATTTGGGAGGGAATCTACTCAACGTTCCTTCATTATGAATCAAAGCTCAAAAAGTGATTTCCAAATAGTACTGCGGTCATTTCAAGTGCTTTCAAAATTTAATCTTCTCAATGTGCTTGGCTTTATGTACAGTTTATTTTTTTTTAATTCTTACCATTTGGATATTTCTTCTCTTTTTCCTCATTTATTCTCGTTCGTCTTCTCTTTCCTTCGCATGATTACACGTCTTTTCTTCTCTGTCCCCTCCTCCTATTCCTTCTGCTCATTTCCTCCTCTTTATCGTTTCCTACTTTATCTTTCTCCTTCTTTCTTTTCTGCTTTCCTCTTCGACTTCGTCTCTTTCTTTCACTTGTTTTGTACGCTAGGTATATACGTGCTCGCTTTGCCACTCGAAGTAAGTCATCTTCTCTTCTACACGATGTTTGCATAAAATTTTCAGCAAAAGATATTTGAATTAATTTTTTTTTTTACTCTCAGCCATGTTCAAATTATGGCTGAAGCGAAATATTTTTATTACTGACATTAAGTAATAATCATTAATTAAGGTCTGTTGACAATTACACAAGTCAAAAATGAAATACCAAGTTTATGTTGTCTTTGCACTAATACACTTGGGAAAGGCATGAATCCATATGTTTTGCAATCTCCTAGAACATGGTTTGAATAGCAGGATAGATAGGGCTCGTTAGCATTTGTTTGTATCCAGTCTAGGAGAAGGAAAACTCTGAATTCAAAAGATCTAAAAAGACAGTGGAAAATTACTCGTCTTTTTCGAAGAACATTGTAAAGTTCACAAATATTGAAACCTTCCTTAAGCCCAGTGCATTTTGGTGTCAACAGTATCCTCGATAATCAATGATTAACTATATTTGGTATTTCTGTAAAACAAAAAAAAAACTATCGTTTTATTTTTTTTATTTTTTGTTTTACAGACATCGTATCGGTATTTTCTGTTTATTCATCATTCAGGCGTGCTGGGTATGACGATAAACTATATCTGCGTCTTGCGTATAACGATAAACTATATCCGCGTCCTGAGTATGACGATAAACTACATCCGCGTCCTGGGTATAACGATAAACTTCATCCGCGTCCTGGGTAAGACGATAAACTATATCCGCATCCTGGGTATAACGGTAAACTACATCCGCGTCTTGGGTATAACGATAAACTACATCCGCGTCCTGGGTATGACGATAAACTACATCCGCGTCCTGGGTATAACGATAAACTACATCCGCGTCCTGGGTAAGACGATAAACTATATCCGCGTCCTGGGTATAACGGTAAACTACATCCGCGTCTTGGATATAACGATAAACTACATCCGCGTCCTGGGTAAGACGATAAACTATATCCGCGTCCTGGGTAAGACGATAAACTATATCCGCGTCCTGGGTATAACGATAAACTACATCCGCGTCCTGGGTATGACGATAAACTACATCCGCGTCCTGGGTATAACGATAAACTACATCCGCGTCCTGGGTATGACGATAAACTACATCCGCGTCCAGGGTAAGACTATAAACTACGTCCAACAGGCAGGCCTCTGATAATACGTTTTTGAAAAAATAATGTAGCCAGCTGTACGTTTTTTAAAAAAATATAATATTAACAGCTATACGTGTTTGAAAAAAATGATATTACTAGCTATACATTTTTGAGGAAAAAAATATTAACAGAAATGGATTTTTGACAAAGCAAAAATATTACCAGAAAAAGAAACTTGTCGGCATTAAATGACCCATTGAAACAAACAAAACCACCCAAACCATCTTTCAGGTGCCTGAATTATGAATTTCAAAATTGTTCTTCGTCTAAAATGGCTGCCATGATATTCAATCTTAAGCTGGCTGGAAAAAGAACTGGATTCATACCTATCCCAGGGAAAAAGTAAATGCAACGCAACAGTCTCGAACTTTGTACGCTGATTTCATATTCTTAGCTGATAGCCATTGCACCACCTGCCCATCCTTACAAGTAAGAACACTGTTTTTCTTTCTTTTTTTTTTTTAGTCATGTGATCATGGAGGCAACTCCTTTATTGGCTGATTGCAATTACGTAAGTTGTAGGGAATGAACATGCAGAGAAATCTACACAAATTTCCCTCATTCTACTTATTTACGCATAAGTGGATTTCAGGACCTTCACTGGAATTCGAACTCGACTCTCCGATTTGTGCCTGTGGTGTAATGGATTACGATTTGGAATGATAAATCAAAAACCCGAGTTCGAATTCCAGTCAAGTTCATTACATTCTTTTACGCGCAAATAACCTTAGGAAAGGTATGAATCTATCTCTTCTCGATCCCCAGATATGGATTAAATAGCAGGACTGAGTGGCTTCTATTGCTTTGCTTGCCAACCATCCTAGAGATGGTGACTCGAAAAAAATCCCCCAGCACGCCTGGGTCACCAGTGGGCATGTAAACCAGTGGCCTATGAAAGCGCATTGAGACTGACATTGTCCAGCCATGTGAGTTGTGCATTCTGCCATCGGCAGAGAAAGCATCTTTTCTCGTTTCGTTTTTAATTTATGCGAGTTGAAAATTTACAGCGACTGGCCTATCGATAAATCTGGCAGGTCACAAAAGCCGTGGCCACTCAAGAAAAAGTTCTTTTGATACTGCAAGATTCTCAGCTCCAGTATCGGTTAATCAGTGCTTAATTATATTCACTTTTCCCCCGACGTTAATTTCCAGATGAAAAAAGTCTTAAAATGAACGACTTGGCACAGACCCACCCTTCTCAATCTGTTAAATTATTTCTTTCTATCAGTCTATTTATCACAATCGGTTTATGTTCATATCTATCTATCTATCTATCTATCTATCTATCTATCTATCTATCTCGGGCTGTTTATCTTCATATCTATTTTCATATCTATCTATCTAGCTAGTTAGCTATCTAATTATATTCCCATCTATCTATGTATCTATCTCATTTTGTTCATGTTCATATCTATCTCATTTGTTCATGTTCATATCTATCTATCTATCTATCTATCTATCTATCTATCTATCTAAATATAATCTTATCTATCCCATATTTTCATGTTCATATCTATCTATCTATCTATCTATCTAATTATATTCCTATCTATCTCATTTTGTTCATGTTCATATCTATCTATCTAAATATAATCTTATCAATCTATCTCATATTTTCATGTTCTTATCTATCTATCTATCTATCTATCTATCTAATTATATTCCTATCTATCTCATTTTGTTCATGTTCATATCTATCTAACCATATTCCCTCCTTCCTTCCTTCCTTCCTTCCTTCCTTCCTTCCTTGCTTTATTCTTTTCTTTCTTTCTATTTCGTTGTATTCATGTGTATCTGTTTTCATTCTTATCCAGGATGGTTCATTTTTGTTTTAGCTTAGCATCGTACACAGACAACGGGAATGAGAATTGGTAGAAATATTGTATTTCACCAATTTATTAAATTCTTCTCCATTCTCTTTCATCATTTAATTTCTGTTTTTATCGAACCTCAAACACCAAGCTGAAAAATGTTTAACTTGTTATATCTAAATAATAGTTTGATGGGCAAGTCATGATTTGATAAAAAAAAGCAAAATAAAGACAAAAAAAAAAAAAAAAACAATGTAAAGAAAATATTCCACTTATAAAGTTTCAAATATCCCAGGCTTCTATTCTGTAGTGATTACTCATTGGTGTATGACTAAGCTTGGCATTGCTTAACTACGCGATTCTCATAAAAAAAAAAACTACGCTAGCCAATATTAAAAATAACAGGGTGAAAAGGGAAGAAAAAGTCTTGGTAAGGAAAAGAAAATGGCCAACCCTCAAATCTTTATCTTTGTAGTAATTTTTTTCATCTCTCTCTCTCTCTCTCTCTCTCTCTCTATATATATATATATATATATATATATATATATATATATATATATATATATATATATATATATATATCTCCTCTATCTATCTCTATATCTATCTATCTATCTATCTGTCTATCTATCTATCTATCGTCCTCTCTCTCTCTCTCTCTCTCTCTCTCTCTTCCTCTTTTTCTCTCACTTTCTCTATCTCTCTTTCTCTCTCTTCTCCCATGGTGCTGATCGACATGCGGGATTTGTCTTCATCTGTGTCTTTCTCCCAAACCTTCGTCCATGTCCCCACTGCAGATCAACCCCTTCCCTCATCAACACCTTCCAACAGTCCCTACCCAGCAGTGGGAGCATCCTGAAAGCAGCAGTGGCGCCATCTACAACTGAAGTTCGTCTGCACTGAATCATAAGTATTGCTATTATTTACGTAACAGAAAGCGAATTGAAAGACATACAAACTGACACAGTAAATTATTGTATTGTCCCAAAGGGAGGTAACCGAAATCCAAATATGTTTCTAAAACGCTCAGCTCTTGAAGGTTTAGTCGTATACACAGGAAAATCGGGTATTTTATTTAGAAAAAAAAAAAAAAAAAAAAGAAGTGAAGTCTGATAGTTTGGTAACTTCGAAATTGCTGTATACCGTCAGCGATTCTCGTTACGTGAACTGCAGTTACACACAGCTTAAGCTGTATCCGCTTACGGCGGCAAAGCAAAGGAGTTTTCAAAGAAGCAAACCTACCGTCGTATTTCTTTTGTCGACGCCCGCGAACGAGGTTTTCTAAGCAGTTGGCATCTAGTGTTTGCCTATCGTTTCAAAGAGAAGGCCAAAGATATATCTCAACGTATTTGTTTAATTAAGCGTAGGATCCTTTCTCATTATGATTATTATTTACCTCAAAAATGTTCCCATCAGTCGTAACTGTTGACCTAAAACAGAACCTAAGTGACAGTTTCTTCAATATCAGTCTCCTCCCCAGTCTTTTAAACAAGAGTAAAGGTTTTATCCCTTGTTTCCTGTTTAGGATTGGGTTTCCGGTTCCTTCTAAAGGCATTTAATTTTTCTTTCACACCCACTAGCCCCTTGAGTCTTAGTGGCATTATCGCCTTGCATGGGATGAATTATTAAAAAAAAAGTCCATCTCTCACCTCTATTTCTGTCAACTAGAATGTAGAATATAAAATGTAGAATGTAGAATATAGAATATATAATATAGAATATATGGAATGTAGAATATAGAATGTAGAATATAGAATATATAGAACATAGAATGTAGAATTTATAATATATAAAATGTAGAATGTAGAATATAGAATATATAGAATATAGAATGTAGAATATAGAATATAAAATATATAATATAAAAATATATAGAATGTAGAATATAGAATATATAGAATATAAAATGTAGAATATATAGAATATAAAATGTAGAATATAGAATATATAGAATGTAGAATATAAAATATAGAATATATAGAATGTAGAATATTTTGCCGTAGTTATAATTCCAACTCTTTCTCCAAATTCCAGCTCTTCTATTGATTTCCCAGGCTCTTCAGGTTCTTCAGGCTCTGCAAGTCTGTTCCTAGTGTTCTGATAATAATTAGCATGACCATTATCCTCATGCTTTATCATCATCCCCATCCTTTCAGTTTCTTTACAGTGAGAACCACAAACAAAAAACAAGGAAAGAAATAACGAAAATATTTAACTTTTAAAGCACAAAATATCCAAGCTTCTGTTACTCAATGGTGCATGACTGCATTGCTTAACTACGCTATTCTCAGCAAACTGTACAATCCTCTTCTATGTGCCGTATCACTTTAAGATGTTCTTCCCAATTTGTCTGTCCTTTGTAGCTTTTAGCAGATTCTGTCTTTTTAGAGCCTCTCTTCTTTCAATTTCATGAGCATATATTTTTTTATCGATTTTTATCTATTTTTTAAAAAATGAAAATAAGTGACATTAAAAATATTTGTACATACTGAAATTTTATGTAATGGCGTATTTTAGGTTCCACGTGAATTTGAGGTACATTTAACATTAAATGATGAGGGGTGAGTTTTTTTGGTGAATGAGCCAATTGTAATGAATGACTGATTTAATGGATCGTGAATCACATTAGCTAGGACTGGGATATAAAGTGTCTACCAGCCTTTCCCAATTTCTTCTTCGGCCTTGTGCCTCAACTGATTTAATTAAAATAAATATATATTCAAGAACAGTCTGATGAATTTTACAAATGAGACTGTTCTTTACGTTCTGCCAAAGAATTTTATCTGTAGTCTTTTTCTTATTTTTCTAAGAATCCATTTGCTTATTTTTTCCATTATCTCCTGTTTGTTGGTTTCCTTCTCCTGTAATTTCAGTTATACCTAGCTCCCGTTGCATAGTTCAATTCCTTCTGTTGATTCTCTTTTTCTTCGCTTGTTTATTACTAGCATTTTACATTTCTCAAAGCCAATTGTTTTATCCCTCCCGTAAAAGAAAGCCAAAAGAAAGGACTAACTATTAATCGCAAGAAGACGACTGAATGGAACATATACATATCTGCTTAGAAAAGTCCAAAACATCAGTTGGAGATCCCACGCAACGCTTAACGCAATTTACGGAGAACTGAGACTTAAGCTTAAACAAAGGCTATTGCAGATTACAGGCCACTGCCACCAAGCGGACGGCGAGGTCGTCTCATCCTTACTTCTATGGCATCCATCTGGAGGTGTCTTCTCTCGAAAGCTGACTTTCCCAGACACCCTGGATCGGGATTCAGAGTTGGACATTGGGGATCTGCGGACGGCAATTCAGGGACGAGCAGTGGAGAAAGGAATTGTTCCGACCAACCACAGCGAGGTCGACGGATGATGATGATGATGATGATGATGATGATGAACATGGTGAGTTTTCAGGTCAAGGTTTTGGTTTTGTAGAAAGTTGCAGTGTTGGGCGAAACTAACTCCAGCACAGCCTATTTTCTCATCAGCTTATGATAATTGATCCACACAACTAAATACTTGAAGTGTTTAACAAAACTTTGAATGAATATACATCGGCTCCTACGAAAAGTTCTTATTTTTCAATAAATGTCCATGTATTTTGAATTAAAACACATTTTTATTGGACCTCTAAATATAATCAAAAAGAGTTGAGAACTTCAAATATCTTGAATCTCACATAATAGATTCCCAAAAAGGCTTCAACATCCACCGGGCCTGTACATGGGATGCGTGTAACAAACTTAAATTTGGCGCTCGAACCTTCCATACTTTTTAAAAGTCTAAACATTACGAACACTGATTGAACCAGTCCTACTGTATAGATCAGAAACTTGGACATTATCTGTTCATCTTGAAAGACCGAGAATTGTGGATAGGAATTGTTAATGGAGTTCTGGCCAACCACAAGGAGTTCGAAGAATGATGACAATGAAGAAAACGGAATACTTTGATCGTCAGCGAAGAAGGATGCCCAAAATAGAAACTATGGATTAGGAACATCAAAATTAGGCATTCTGAGTAAGGTAATAACAGATAAGAGCAGAGAAATATTAAAATATGGTTTCCAGAAAGACATAGGAAAATTCAGTTAGACATTCAGAAAAAAAGAGTATTGAACTGCTATGTAATATCTAATCTGGCCGTGAAAACTGAACAATGAAGAAGAGACATGAAGCGACGGAAATGTGTTCCTACCATGAAATGCTACGAATTCCATATGTGAGAAACGTGGAATTATTAAGGAAAATAGGATTTCCAAGGAAACTTAAATTGAAAGATGCAGCTGAAATTTCTGTGATGTTTAATCAAGAAAGAGTGTCTAGAGAATTTAACACATAAAACATATTGAAGACAACAGAAGCAGGGTAAAACAGCGAGTAAACTACTTTGTTATGAATATTTGACATAACAGGTACTAAGAAGGATGGTAAAGGTTAAAAATTACTCAGCTCAACAAAAGATAGAAAGGTATGAAGAGCCATGTCCTAATTCATAAAGGAAGTAATTATTATCCCTATTTAAAGTCTTTTTTTATTTTATTTTCTGTATTTTTTGTATATAGTAAAAGCTAGCATGGCTTGATGGTTACTTCATCTCATAGAACAATTCTTAAGTGCCCATAGATCTATTCTCATGACCTTGTGCCAGAGCAAGGTATATTTAACAAATACCTATACAATCGCTTCTAAGATATCGTCCTCTCACTCCTTTCCTTTGTCACGCCATTTTGTTATCCTTTCCCCATACACTGAACATGACCATGACTCTCTCTTTACTCCGTTCCTGTCTTTCTCTGCCTTTATTTCTTCCAACATGAGATATGCGTAGGTGATTCACTGAGAAAATGTCAGCTCAGAATCAGCCATCTTCATATGTAGAGTTGCTCGAAATTGTTAATGTTTTGGATAAATATTTGTCTTCGAGACAGGACTGCGCCAAATGACTTGCCATTGACAAGCAACAGGGAACCACAAGTTTTATACACATTCAGAGATATTTTTTTATATATATATATATATATATATA